CCTGCCTGCCTGCCTGCCTGCCCCCCTTCCTGCCTGCCTTCCTTCCTTCCCACCCTCCCTCCCTTCTCCTTGCCTTTCTTTTCCAGACCAGAAATGCACTGGCAAAGCAGAAGAAGCCTAGACACGGAGGCTCATTGGCCTGGTTCCACTCCCCCCAGCTACTCAACAGACACTCATCGATCCCATCTCTCCTACCTCGGAAAAAATACATCCTCCCCAAGATTTAGCCTCACACACATTAGGGAAATATTTGAAGCATCTCATTGGAGTCAAGAGAAAGAAAGAATTCTGACTGCATTAGGGATACTAGCCAACACAATCAGACAAGGAAAAAAAAAAAGATGTGGCACAAAGATCTGAAAGTAGGCTGGGTGTGGTAGTGCATACCTATAGTACCAGCATTGGGGAGGTTGTGAGGATAGCAAGTTAGAAGCCCCCTGGGCTACAAAGCAGGAAAGAGGGAAGGAAGGAGGGAAGGAATGAAGGGAGGGAGGGAGGATGGAAGGGAGGGAGGGAGGGACAGACGGACAAAGGGAGGGAGGAGATAACATTGATTACTAGTGTTGTGGTAAGTATTGGAGGTCACCATAGGTGACAATCTAGACAGGTTCACAGAAGCCATAGAAGTACCAGTCCGGCGCACAGGCTTAGGGCACAGCGTGGGGTACATTTGTACTTCAGGCCAGCAGAGACAAGCTAGACAATGGAATGGAGTTGGGACAGCTGGATCCTTATTTAGAAAAAAAAAGAAAGAAATAAAATTGGATTCTTACCTCAAAATTTACACCTGAGCAAATCTTATCTAAACACTAGACCAGAGACTTGGAGATTAAAAAAATAGCACAGCATGGAAGAACTAGACATCTCAGCCACACCCTTGCACCTCAAAAAGGAAACGGAAAACGGGGCGCAGTGTGATTCCATGAAATAAGGAAGCAGGAGGAGAAAGCATGGAAGCAAAGGCACACACCTTAACCCTTCCTATGCAGAGAGTTCCGGTAAACAAATCAGACGTTTAAAAAGAAAAAAGAAAACAGCAACAGTAATGGCAGCCGAGGTGAAGTACGAGGGGAGGCTGGCTGCGCTGTGTGGCTCGGTCGTCCCTGCCTTCCACGGCGCAGTCCGCCACCGCCCCGTCCGGTCTCCCCATCCCGCACCGTGGCCCCCTCCTGCAGCAAGCTGACCTCCAGGGCCCTCCGTCGCCTTAGGGGAAGGGACCCACCACGGGCTCACCTCTGGGGTCATCATGAACCCAAAGCCGAACAAAGGAGGCAACCCCAGCGCCTCACACCCCAAAACCTGACGCCCGGGTTCACGGGCCGCTCAAGCCAAAGGGCAGGAGGGACCAGGCCGTCCGGAGCTCCGAGGCTGGGGCCCCCTGCCGGGGCACTCACTTGTGCGCGTCGCCCTCGGGGCCGGCCGTGAGGTTCGCCTGCATCACCGCCTGGAACTCGGCCTCGCTGCAGCAGTACTTGAACACGGTGCTGTTCCGGTAGCAGCAGAGGAAGAAGCTCTTGTTGTCCGAGAGCCGGGGGCAGTGGAAGCCGAAGTGGTAGCGGCCTTTGTGGTCGGTGTAGGGCTCACAGACGCGGAAGTGTGCAGACAGCACTGCAAGGCGAGCGGCCGGGCTCAGCGGGCCCCGCCAGCCCCTGGTGCCCGGGACGGGGGCTCTGCCCCGGGCCCCGCCAGCCCCTGGGTGCCCCAGACGGGGGCTCTGCCCCGGGGCCCAGCTGCCCCTGCCCGGGACGGCTCGGCCCTGGAGGCGCCGGGCAGCCATGGGCACCTCCTGGGAACCCCAGCGGACCCCATCACCGCCCCACATCGCAGCCAGCAACGCCGAGGCCCGAACGGGATCTGGCTGGGCTTCAGGGTGGTGAAATGAGCCTGGCACTGCCTCCTCCCTGTGCTGGGCCGGCCAGCCCGGGACCCCTCCTGGGAGTGTCAGGCAGTGCGGGCCTCCTCCAGCCCCAGGCTGGAGCACTGGAGGATGAGCACTGGGTAGTGAGCAGGCCACTGGCTTCCTTCCTGTCTTTCTGTCAGGAATGGCGGTTTCTAACTTGTGTCTCTGAGCCGGGGTTTTGCAGGCCATGTGCCCCCCTCCCTGCTCTGCGCGAGGCCCGGCCGGCGGGAGGCCCTGTCTGCCACCGCCGTCCGCCCACAGCCCACACCGTGCCCGGCGGCTGCCGCTGGAGGCCCGGCTGCGCCAGCTGGCGGGTGGGCGGGCGGCGGGCACCAGGCTGGCGTGGGGGCCTTGACGCTCTCCTGCCTGCCCCAAAGGCTGGCACTCTCTTCCAGGGATGGGACACAGTAGACAAGAGCCCTGCGGGAGGGGCACGGAGGTGGTGGGGTCACCCTGGGGCCTGGCTCCCCTTCCTTTGTATTCAGGAATACATAGTATATAGACGGGGGGTTCTGATGGTGTTGCAGCGTTGGGCTGGACCCACGGGCCATCAGCACCTCCTGCCTGGCGGGGGGGGGGTGGCAGGTGCTCCAGTGGGGACACCTGGCTGGGGACCCGCAGGCCGTAGGGCTGGGGCTGGGCTGGGCACTGGGTGGCCCTCAGAGCAGCCAGCAGGGACCTGGGACCCGGGGAAGGAGGGAGGGGACAGAGCCTGGCCTGCCACTATCCCGCACAGCGCTGGCGCCCGGCTGCTACCCGCAGCTGACCGAGCTCCGGCCTCTCCCCTCCCTGTGGGCGGGTGAGCCCCCTCCTGTTCCCTGGGGTCCTGGGCCAGGCCCCCCAAGGCTAGGGCAGAGGTCCGGGGACTTCCTTCCTGGGAGGCCGTGGTCACGGGCATTTCTAGGTCTGCTTCTTCCTTTGTTAGGTCAGGGAGCTGCTGCTCCCTCGTCACCCCCCATCCTCCTCCCCCCCCACCCCCCGGCACAGCTGGGCCTGGGTTCTGCTGTCCTGGGGGCCCAGCCCAGCGCGCCCCAAACCAGTCTGTGGGCCCCACACCAGCAGTGGGCTCCAAGCTGCAAACCTCAGCCCCGTGTGTGAGAGGAGGAGACAGAGAAAGAGAGACAGGAAACAGAGAGACAGAGGCAGAGGAGACAGAGAGGGGGAGACAGAGAAAGAGAAAGAGAGACAGGAAACAGAGAGACAGAGGCAGAGGAGACAGAGAAAGAGAAAGAGAGACAGGAAACAGACAGAGGCAGAGGAGAAAGAGAAAGAGAAAGAGAGACAGGAAACAGAGAGACAGAGGCAGAGGAGACAGCGCCGGGCAGAAAGACGCAGAGAAAACCAGAGGCAAAAGCAGAGAAAGTGCTGGAGAGAGACCAAGAGGGAGAGACCGACAGCGAGA